TCCCTACATTCCTTAGAGATCTGTGAGGAGGAATTAAGAGCTGAATTGTTGTACGAGACCACTTAAAAAGATTTGTGGGAAAAAGTGTATTTCAAGGGAGTGTAATATTACCTTGTTTTCTTTATCTGTTCACCCTTCTTTCAGATATACTTGACTTATCAGAGTGAGTAAGGTGGCATGAAAAGGCAGCATAGACCTGTTTTACCATACATGCCACAAGATATTTGTTTTACTCGCAGATGAAAAATTAGAATTTGGTATTATTAGAACTATATGTATATTCATATACATTTATATTGGTATGTATGTGTGTGTGTGTGTATATATGTATATATATATATATATTTGAATCACAAATCCTAGGATTTCAGTACGTTAGTCCTTTTTTTTTTTTTTTTTTGAGGGGTTTTTGCTATAGAGCATGTGCACTTGCCAGAAAGACAGAGACAGAAAATGAGAAACCACCCCCACCCCCGGGGGGATGACCATGCCGCAACCCCTTCTTCTCCATTTTCCTCTTGGGATCTTGGGTACGCATGCACAAGCACATGACATGAGTTTAAGCCACTGGGTCCAGGACTTGAACTGTGGTTGACTACATTGGGAGTCCAGTGATGTAGCCATTACGCCAACTGCTAGTCCCCCATTAGTCCTTTTTTTTTTTAAAAGATTTTTGTTTTTTTATTTAACTTTTTAAATAAATAATTAACTTGTAAAATTTGACCAGAGACGGACAGAGTGAAAGAGAGAGGGAAAGTGAGAAATCAAGCTGCCACAGGTCCAGGACTCTAACTGTGGTCAGCCATGTGGGAGTTCAGCGCCATAACCACCACTCCATCTACCGGCCCTAAGTACTTTAGTCCTTCTAAAGGATAGTTTTCTGGTTTTGTTTTTTAAAATTCTAATCTATATGGGCTGATATTCTATAAAATTATGTTTGGATGTTGAAACAATGTCAAATTGCTACAAAAAGTTCTAAATGCGTACTACTGTCAATCACTGTACTTAGACTGGTAACAGTCTGCACTGGCACCAACCTGGACCACATTTGCATTGCACTGACGTAGCAGAGGCCATAGAGTCCACTGTATTCCTATAAGGAAGGCCCCATGTTTGGATTCCAGGTGGCCTGAACATACCAGGTGCACCATGGGCATGCCTCTGATTCGGTGGGCTGGAAGTTTGGTGGGATATCATAGTATGATGAGACTCTTGTCGGAGGAACCTCTGTCTCCCTCCTGCTTCATGAAAATAAACTTAAAAATGAAAATTTAAAAAATAAGATTCATTTTTAAATAAGGGAATTTAGCAGTGAAATGAGGACAAGGAAGATAAAGCCAGTGGCCATTTATTTATTTATTTTTTTACTCATGATTGAGCATATACATACACATGTGAAAGTAAGAGGCAGAAAGAGATGAGCGTCCTCCACGTGGTGTGCCCATGCTGCAGCCACCCTCCAGTCCTTCAGCCCCTTGGATTATAGGCACTGATGCATGTACCCAGCGTATTTCAGGCTGGCCAAACCAAGTTGCCATGCGGGATCCAGCTTCTCCTAAGCAGCAAACTCCTGATGTGCAATGGAACCAGCCTGCCACTGACCATTTAGAAGGAAAATAGTTAACATTGAATTTTTTTTTTTTTGGAGAGGTTTTCGCTATAGGGCGCGTGCGCTCGCCAGACAGACAGAGAGAGACATAGAGACAGAAAGTGAGAAATCACCCCCCAGGGGGGATGGTCACGCCGCAATCCCTTCTCCTCCATTCTCCTCTTGGGATCTTGGGCACGCACGCACACGCGCCCGGCGTGAGATTTAAGCCACCGGGTCCGAGACGTGAACCGCGGTTGACTACGTGGGAGTCCAGCGACATAGCCATTATGCTAACTGCTGGTTCCCAACATTGAACTTTTTTGAGTCCATGCTTTTGGACTGTCAGAAGAGTCATGATGTATTTTTGTATGTTTTTCTATGCAAAATAAGTCATGACTTTTCCAATAACCCAGTAATTATCTTTAGTTACAGTACTATGATTCTGTTAAAAGAGTGAGCGAGGGAGAGAGAGAGAGAGAGACCTGGGTTAATGGTCTAATACAGAGGTTGACTAACTTTTTCTGTAAAGGGCTAGATAGTAAATAATTTAGGCTCTTCTGACCAATGCTACCTTTGCAGTGTGAACACAATTCTAGACAATATGCAGACCTATAAGCATGGTTGTGTCCCAAGAGCTCTATTTACAAAAACTGGTGGTGGGCCTGACTTGGCCTGTGGACCATAGTTTGCCAGTTCCTAATCTAAGATATTGTGAATACCTCTTGGCAGATCATGAATATCTTGGCATATAGAGTATAAGGAATGAGTTTTTTTCCTGCTGTTTCTTAATACTCATTGAGTTATCAGGCCCATGTCTGTGTCCAGCTAATTTTTCTTTGGTATGTGATGAGTAGAGCACAAGACCTAACTTACGACAGTACTTCACAAAATGTTTTGTGGACGCTGTACAGATGTCTACCCTCTTTCACCACAGATGGGTTGACCACGTTGATCTAATCTGTTTCTTCTTTTAATTCTGAAATTGGTCCATCTCCTCATAGGAAACCCAGAGGTTCTGTGAAAAAGTCCATGAGGCGATCAAGGCCATTATTGCAGTATACTATTCACTTCCCAAGGATCAGGGTAAGCCCCTATGTCCTCATACGTGTTGTGTTTATAGGATAGAGCATTGCTAATATGGTGGGTTATGTACTGATATTTTTATCTTTCCTCCACTTGAGTATAAGATTCAATCCATTGGGGCCAGCGGGTGGCGTTGTGACTAAGGGGCTGGACTCCCACATGATTGGCCATGGTTCAAGTCCTGGACCCTGTGGCTTAAAACTCACACTGGGTGTGTGTGTGTGTGTGTGTGTGTGTGTGTATGTGTGTATGTATATGTGTGTGCCCAAAATTTCCAAGAGGAGAATAGAGACAGAATTGCCAGGGTGTGGCCATCCTCCTAGGGAATGGTTTCTCATTCTCTCTCTCTTCTTCTTTCTCTGTCTCAGGTGAGCACACATGCCCTATTATAAAAATCTCTTCTAAAAAAAAAGATGCAGTCAAGGATAATTTTATAATGTGAGTGACCTCTGTAAACGAGCCATTATGCCATGGACAGAGGCGCAGTGTTCCTGTGACTGCCTATCTCCCCGGCTTTGCACGACTTTTAAGGTTTTTCATTCTCAGTGGCTCCTTCCTCTCCAACCTGTTCTACCCACTGCAGATGCTGGATCTTAGCCCCTGCCCAGGCCCTGCCTTCCCTACTGTCCTCCATCCATATTAGGCCACACCCCACTTCCAAGCTCCCTGAGAGATTAAATGGTCTCCAATCCTATCTGTAGATTCAGGCTTTGACTATAATCAGACCAAAATTATAACTGAATACATAGCATGGATCTTCAGAGTTATTCACAAATAGTTTGAACTTTAAGTGTTTCATCCACAGTTGTCAAGGAACCACTGTCCTTAATGAGTGAGTACATGCTGTCATGGAAAGGTTTTGTTCCAGATCTCTTTTGGAGAACAGCACTGAGAAATGGAGGGAGGGGCAAAAAAATAACATGAGGTGGTTTTTTTGTGTTGACCTTTCAGTTAAAGCTTGTGGGTGCTTTTCAACAATTTGAGTAGTTGACATGTAAATATTTTCTTGAAATTATTTAAAATCATACTGTTTCTGTTGTTAAAGAGTCGCAAACAAATTATACAAAATTATAAGAAATATTTTGAACATTATCTTTGAAATTTAGTATTTTGAAATTTTTTTTTCTTTTTTTTTTTGGAGAGGTTTTAGCCATAAGGCATGTGCGCTCGCCAGACAGACAGAGACAGAGAGACAGAAAGCGAGAAATCACCCCTCAGGGGGAATGGCCACTCCGCAATCCCTTCTCCTCCATTCTCCTCTCGGGATCTTGGGCACGCACACACATGCACCGGTGTGAGTTTTAAGCCACCAGGTCCGGGACGCGAACCGCGGTCGACTACATGGGAGTCCAGTGACAGCCATTACGCTAACTGCTGGTCCCAGTATTTTGAAATTTTGAAAGTTGTTTCTTAACTGTCAAGAACTATGGTGGTGGGGGGACCAGCAGTTAGCGTAATGGCTATGTCGCTGGACTCCCACGTAGTCGACCGTGGTTCGAGTCCGGACCCGGTGGCGTTAACTCAATCTCTCTCTCTGTGTCTGGCGAGCATACGCGCCCTATAGCAAAAACCTCTCCAAAAAAAAAAAAAAAAGAACTATGAAGTATGAGTTAAAATTTTTTGATACATAAAGTAAATGATTGTGGAAAAATGTAACAAGAAAAAAAAAACATGTGGATGTACACTCCTTCATAGTGCTGTAGTGTTTAGACTCTGGCAAGTAGAGGGTGACTTCTAAAAAGAAGACCAGGCCAGTTACTCTCTGGTGTGTGGCCACAGGGATCACTCTGAGAAAGCTGGTACGGGGCGCTGCTCTGGACATCGTGGACAGCATGGCTCAGCTCGTGGAAGTCCTTATCATCACTCCAGCTCAGAGGTAGTGATGTTGCAGTTTGGGTTCCTTGCCTCGGGGGCAGAGGGACTTTTTTAACAGCAGAGTTGCTGATAGGTCAGAATGATGACCAACAGGAGGGAGCTTTTCAGGGGACCAGAATTGAGGTTATTGATGTATCTTTATCGATTCTTTTCCCCAGCCTTGAGAACAGTGACCTTATTTCCTGCAACAGTGTCTGGGTTGCGTGCCAGCAGGTGCCTCAGATTCCAAGAGGTGAGTGAGAGTGGGAAGTAGGCTTTGTTGGCCAAAGCAGAGAGACTTCTCATATCTATCTTCCAACCTTGTAATGTGAATGTATTTTAATTTATATAAAGAATGAAATATATATAGTTAGTAAAATACTACATGTATTTTACTAACATTAATACATATTCATGCTTTTTTTTTTTTAGGTTTTTGTCATAGGGTACATGCCTTCACTGGGGGGAGAGAGAGAGAGAGACAAAGAGAGGGAAAGTGAGAAATCACCCCTAAGGGCAGACGCCATGCCACAATCCCTTCTTCATTCTTGTCTTGGGATTTTGGCACAAGTGCACATGTGCCCAACATGATTTTTAAACTGCTGGGTCTGGAACTTAAACTGTTATTAGGCATGTGGGGGTCCAGAGGTTTAACCACCACACCACCTGCTGGCCCCCAATAGATATTATTTTTTGCCATTCTCTAGTTTTCAAACTCCCCTCTAGAGTAGTATTATGGGGCACACTGAAGCAGTTGTGAAGTAGAGCCAGCCACGCCAGAGGTGCGGTGATCACCTAAGAGGGTTGTGATGAGAAACACGTGACCATTTTATTTCTTCTGTGGTGAATAAACAAAAACTTGTTAACCCCTTGTCCAGGTACCAGGGGATGTAGTAAGTAGAATTTTACATTAAATCTCCACTGTTATTTTTTTTCTTTTTATTTGGAGAGGTTTTTGCTATAGGGGGCATGCGCTCGCCAGACAGACAGAGAGAGACAGAGAGACAGAAAGCGAGAAATCCCCCCCCCAAGGGGGATGACCATGCCACAATCCCTTCTCCTCCATTCTCCTCTTGGGACCTTGGGCACGCAGGCACACATGCCCGGCGTGAGTTTAAGCCACCAGGTCCGGAACTCGAACCACGGTCGACTACGTGAGAGTCCAGCGACATAGCCATTGCACTAACTGCTGGTCCCTAAATCTCCACTGTTGTTGGTTATTCTTAGCACTTCCATCAGTAGCAACAGTGTTGGTGGCCCTTTGCAGTCTTCAAAGGATTGCTGAGTTTCTCCTCTGTTTCTGATTTTTTCACTCACAGACAACAAGGCTGCAGCCCTTCTAACACTGACAAAGAATGTGGATTTTGTGAAAGATGCCCATGAGGAAATGGAGCGGGTGAGAGAACCTCTGACTTTGCTGGACATTGAGAGGCAACTCCATGACTAGTAAATGAAAACTGATTATAAGGAGATGTCCTGAGCACTGACCAGATAGGCCCCATCCTCATGACTGTCCTCTGTCTTCCATCTCCCACTTCCTGCTGGTGTGTGATTTAATACCACTCCTTTCTTTTCCATTGCTGGACAAGGAGAGCAAGAACAGAGTTTATGAAGTGATTTGATCCTGTAGCCATTAGTGAAGTGGCTGACTGAAGTTTTTAGACAACTCAGACATGGTACTAAAGTATAATGTGTGTGTGTGTGTGTTTTTTTTCTTCTCGTTCACATATGTTGTGGAATGTCTTAGGCTGTGGAAGAATGTGATCCTTACTGTGGCCTCTTGAATGACTCTGAGGACAACTCCGACAATCATGATGAAGATGATCTACTGGGGTTCCCAAGCAATCAGGACTTATACTGGTCAGAAGAAGATCAAGAGCTCATAATCCCATGCCTGGCGCTGGTGAGAGCATCCAAAGCCTGCCTGAAAAAAATTCGGATCTTAGTGGCAGAAAATGGGAAGAAGGATCAGGTGGCCCAGCTGGATGACATTGTGGACATTTCTGATGAGATCAGCCCCAGGTAAGCCCCAAGTCCTCGCTTGAAACGTCTGAACAGGAGCATTTCTATCTCAGCTTGTGCTGTCATTCCAAGATATTTTCCCCCAGTATTTTTATTTTGAAAAATTTCTAACCTACAGGAAAAAGTACTCTCAGTGAAACCTTTACATCTTTCATCTAGATTACCTATTGTTCGCATTTTTATTATATGTATACACACACACACACATACACACACATACACACATACATATGTATTTTTTATAGATAGATGTGTCATATTTTTTCTTGAACCATTTGAGAGTAGATCACAGACATCTATAATATTTCACCCTGAATAATTTAATATGTGTCTCCTAAGAACAAAGACATTCTTATCACAGCTAAGGAATTTAACATTGAATATAATAATATTATTAATATTCAGATATTTTGCCCCTAAAATATCTTACATAAACCCAGGGTTCTGTCAAGATTTCAGATTGCATTTGACTGCTACCATTCTAGTCTCTTGCAGTCTACAACAGTCCTTATCTTTTTTAGTCTTTTTGGACATAGACAGCTCTTTTTTTGAGAGATTTTGGTATAGGGTATGTACGGTCACCAGAGAGACACAGAGAGATGGAGAGACAGTGAGAAATCACCCCCAAGGGGGTGGCCACATTTCAGTCCCTTTTCCTCCATTTTCGTCTTGGGATTTGGGGCATGTGTGCACACATGCCTGGAATGAGTTCCAAGACACTGGGTCCAAGACTCAAACCACTGTCAGCCATGTAGGAGTCCAGCGACATAACCATTATGCCATCTGCTGGTTCCAACACTGACATCTTTTAAGAAACCAGGTCAGTTGACCTGTACACTATCCAATAATCTGGATTCATGTGCTTGTTCTCTCTTGATTATGTTCAAGTTAAACAGTTCTTAGTAAGAATATCAATAATTGAGTGTTTCATGTTTTTCACTGTATTATTTTGGGAAGGCACATGGTGTTGGTTTCTCATATTATTATTTTTTTCTTTCTTGTTGTTTTTGCCGTAAGGTGTGTGGCCTCACCAGAGAGGCAGAGAAAAACAGATAGAGGGAGAGTGAAAAATCACCCCCTAGGTGGAATGGCCATGCTGCAATCCCTTCTTCTCCATTCTCCTCTTAGGATTTTTAGAAGGCTTGCACATGTGCCTGGTCTGGGACTTGAACTGCTGTTGGCTATGTAGGAGTCCAAAACCTCAGGCTTCTCCCACTATTGATGGTACTAAATCTGATCACTTGGTTAATATGGTGTCCCCTTTAGTAAAGGTACCTTTTATCAAAAGATTTTAGTTTCCAGATTGCAGTACATTGAGCTCCATAGAGACAGCGCCGGGGCAAGTGAGAGCCGGACAGGCATTGGGCAACTCTGTCCTGCGGAGGAAAGATAACTAAAAATGGGCAAAGGAGATCCTAAGAAGCCAAGAGGCAAAATGTCATCATATGCATTCTTTGTGCAAACTTGCCGGGAGGAGCACAAGAAGAAGCACCCAGATGCTTCATTCAACTTCTCAGAGTTTTCTAAGAAGTGCTCAGAGAGGGGGAGGACCATGTCTGCTAAAGAGAAAGGAAAGTTTGAAGATATGGCAAAGGTGGACAAGGCCTGTTATGAAAGAGAAATGAAAACCTATATCCCTCCTAAAGGGGAAACAAAAAAGAAGTTCAAGGATCCCAGTGCATCCAAGAGGCCTCATTCGGCCTTTTTCTTGTTCTGTTCTGAACATCGCCCAAAAATCAAAGGAGAACATCCTGGCCTATCCATTGGTGATGTTGCAAAGAAATTGGGTGAGATGTGGAATAACACTGCTGCAGATGATAAACAGACTTATGAAAAGAAGGCTGCTAACAAGATTATGATGATAATAAAAAATAAATTTAAAAATAAAAAGAAGGCTGCTAAGCTGAAGGAAAAATATGAAAAGGATATTGCTGCATACCGAGCTAAGGAAAGCCTGATGCAGCAAAAAAGGGAGTTGTCAAGGCTGAAAAGAGCAAGAAAAAGAAGGAGGAGGAGGAAGATGAGGAAGATGAAGAAGATGAGGAAGAAGAGAAAGATGAAGAAGATGATGATGAATAAGTTGGCTCTAGCACAGTTTTTTTTTCTTGTCTATAAAGCATTTAACCCCCCTGTACACAACTCACTCCTTTTTTTTTTTTTTTGAGAGATTTTCACTGTAGGGCGCGTGCGCTCGCCAGACAGACAGAGAGAGACATAGAGACAGAAAGCGAGAAATCACCCCCCAGGGGGGATGGTCACGCCGCAATCCCTTCTCCTCCATTCTCCTCTCGGGATCTTGGGCACGCACGCACACGCGCCCGGCGTGAGTTTTAAGCCACCGGGTCCAGGACACGAACCGCAGTCGACTACGTGGGAGTCCAGAGACATAGCCATTACGCTAACTGCTGGTTCCCCACAACTCACTCCTTTTAAAGAAAAAAAATTGAACTGTAAGGCTGTGTAAGATTTTTTTTAAAACTGTACAGTGTCTTTTTTTTGCATAGTTAACACACTACCGAATGTGTCTTTAGATAGCCCTGTCCTGGTGGTCTTTTCAATAGCCACTAACCTTGCCTGGTACAGTATGGGGGGTTGTAAATTGGCATGGAAATTTAAAGCAGGTTCTTGTTGGTGCACAGCACAAATTAGTTATATATGGGGATGGTAGTTTTTTCATCTTCAGTTGTCTCTGATGCAGTTTATGCGAAATAATTGTTGTTCTGTTAACTGAATATCACTCTGTAATTGCAAACAAAAAAAAGTTGCAGCTGTTTTGTTGACATTCTGAATGCTTCTAAGTAAATACAATTTTTTTTACTAGGGAAAAAAAAAGATTTTAGTTTCTGTTGATGAACCCTACCTTTATCAGTTGTTAAATTTATGGTTTCATATCCACACATTTGGAATGAATTAACCTGCCCCATTCTGCAAAGCAAAGGTATCCCCAAGCACCCACCCTCTGCCATAGTCCCCAGTTTTCTTATGGAAAGGGATTGTATGTTTCAGTAATTACTGTTTAGATTGATTTTGTGTTGCCTCCCAGTTGCCCAGCTGAAGGAATTTTAGGCATTTCTGAGACAATTTCTTACTACATAATTGTATTACTGGAAACAACTGAAGTGAGCTTTGTTCCCTCTCTTTGTTAATGGTCATTTTTGCTTTCTGACCTTAGCGTGGATGATTTGGCTCTGAGCGTATATCCACCTATGTGCCATCTGACTGTGCGAATCAATGTAAGTATCAACTTTGATGAAATAATTACAGACCTAATTGGTAGAATTTCACTAATCACTAGTATTTTCTCTAATCTGTAGAGTACTTATTTATTTGCCACACTTGGATGCAAATTTCAATACATATAAATTTAAAAACTTATAAAAATGTTATATAAAAAGTATTGATAAGATTTTGTTAAACAGAAGATTCTAAGGGCTGACCCTGTGGCCTAATGGTTAAGGGAGCCAGATCCCACATGACCAATGTTGTGGTTTGAATCCCAGGCCCGGTAGCTTGGAGAAAACACCAGGCATGTGTGCATTTATGCCCCAAATCCTGACAGGTTGCAGAAATGAGGAGAAGGGAGTGTAGCATTGCTACACCCTACTGGGAAGTGGTTTTTCCTCTCCCTCTCTGTCTCTTTGCCTTTTTCTGGTGAGTACACATGACCTCTAGCAAATTAAGAAAGAAAGGAAGGAAGGAAGGAAGAAAGTCCATAATCCTGCCACTGTAACCTTTAGGGTTTTTTGTTTTTGTTTTTGTTTTTTTAGGTTTTTACCATAGGGCACATGCTCAACAGAGACAGAGAGAAAAAAGTCAGAAATCACCCCCAGAGGGGATAGCCATGCTGCAATCCCTTCTCCTCCATTCTTTTCTTGGGATTTTGGGCATGCATACACATGTACCTGGCGTGATTTTTTTTTTTTTGAGAGGTTTTTGCTATAAGGCGGGGGCATTCCCCAGAA